CTAGGACTATCTGGAGAAACAGAAATTTGAAACTCTATTAAAAAATTCATTAGATTATCTTTCTCCATTTGAGTAGAAGAAGAGATACATCTTCTCATGATAGGTCTCCAATGCCAAATTGAATCTCTCAGAAATCCTTGACTAGCGATAGTAACATTTGGAGATAGAGCTAGCTTATAAATAGAAGGATAAAGACTGGCTATGGAATTGAAACCAGTCCACTTATCTTCCCAAAATCTGATTGTGTCACCTAGACCCAAAGACCACAATATATTTTGAAGAAACTCATGCTTAAAGGATAAGATGGCATTCCAGAAATGAGAATTTGATGCTCCTGAAATTGTCATTTGAAGGGATTGACCTCTGTTACAATACAGTTGACGAAGGAAATTTCCAGTAATTGAATGATGATCAAGACATCTCCAAAGCCACTTAGATAGCAAGGCAATATTAAATAGATGGATATCCTTAACTCCTAATCCTCCTTCTGATTTGCTTAAACAAACTTTTCTCCAGCTGACTAGACACTTGAAGCCACTTGCTTTATCAGATCCTGTCCAAAGAAAGCCTTTTCTGATTTTATCAATTTTTTTTGTCACCCAAATTGGCAATTTGTAGAAGGACATGAAATATAAAGGGATTGAAGAAAGCACAGAATTAAGAAGAACTAATTTCCCTCCATAAGACAAGAAATTCCTCTTCCAAGATGCAAGTTTTTTATGAAGATTATCAAAAATAGGTTGCCATTCAGATTTGGTCAGCTTACCATACTTTAGAGGCAAACCTAGATATTTAATAGGAAGAGAGTCTACTTTGCATCCAAGAGAATTTGAAAGAATATGTTTTTTCATGGGATTTTTTACCAAAGTAGACAATGGAGGACTTAGAGTAGTTTATAGCCAGACCTGAGATCTCCTCAAAGAGATAAAGAATAGTTTTCAACACTGAAATGTCCTTGCAAGAGCTTTTGACGAAGAGAAGAGTATCATCTGCAAATTGGAGAATTCTCAACTGATTAAGAGGTAACTTTATATTGAGATTTGACAAAAGACCCTCTCCAACATTGTTGTGAATCATTTTATTTAAAACATCAACTGCTATATTGAAAAGCATTGGAGATAAAGGATCTCCTTGCTTTAGACCCCTCTTACAAGAAAAGAATTTAGAAGGATGTCCATTAACTTTAACAGAACACTGAGAAGAAGAGATTATGTGATATATCCATGTGCACCACCTATTTCCAAAACCTCTGGCTTTGAGCAGATTAAGGAGAAAATTCCAGTTGATGGAGTCAAAGGCTTTTGTGAAATCAATCTTAAGCATAGCTACTTCACTCTTCCTTTTCGAACAGTAATGAATCATCTCATTAGCCATCACAATAGAATCAAGAGTTGATTTTCCTGACTGAAAAGCTGATTGGGTAGATGATACCAAATTAGGAAGAAAAGAAGTCAACCTGTTTGCAACTATCTTGGAAAAAATTTTGAAGATGCAGTTGATAAGACTGATTGGCCGGAAATCTTTGACTAGGACACTTCCTTTGATTTTGGGAATAAGAGTGATGAAGACTTTATTCATCCTACATAAGCTAGAAGGATTCTGATGTAAATGAATCATCAAGCTGACCAAGTCATTTCTGATAACATCCCAAAAAACCAAAGGATTCCTTCTTGAGTACCTATTTTATGAATTTGTATTAGCAATGTGTAACCACCTTAAATGGATAGATTAATCATTTCATATCCAAATAAGAATGTAACTAATATCTTTAAAATGTTGTTTGTATTATTTATTTATATATGTTTCATGCACAACACAATTTGAGACATCCTGTTGAGCTTATGGTCATTATCTTTGATTTATTTATTTTTTTATTATCTAGCAGATAAGTTTCGATTATATTTAATCAGCTAACCATTGATTATTGTAATTTCTCATATTTCCTCACTTTGACCTTATATCTAACTCATTTGTGGACCTCCTTCTTCAGGTAACAAAGTGAATCCGTCTGCAACGGACCAGGTCTACTTGAATAAGCAAGTTATGAGGAAATAGCCAAAGCAATGCGGTAGCTAAATAACATTAGTAGTTAATTATCTATTTTGATACAGTAGATACTTCTTGCTTACTCATAAGATACATTATCTAGATTTGATGATGTTGTTTGAGCCAAGACTTGTATTTATTTGAAAATTGAAGTTATCTATCTAGTAGACATTTGGACAAATTATTATATCTCTATCTTTATTTCCATTTGTCATTGCTACAATGTTGATGTGACCTATATTTTTCATATATATTTGTATTGTGCATGGTTGTGGATGTATACTACAAAACAGGTCACGAGTATTTTTGGTTTTATAAATATATTGCCCACTTTGATCATTCCCATGTGCAGGACACGACACATCCAAAAGTAAAAAGGGCCAACATCCACTCAAGAAACCATTTATGCATGTAGCATAACAAATAAAGAGTCTTGTAAACCTTCCTTCACTTTGTTCAATGCAATTATGGCTGCCTGGGTTTGTCTCTTTAACCATGTCTTCATGCCTAAAACATATATAACATATTTGAGTAAGTAGATAAACTACAAGTTACGGTTAACAGACAATGTGTATACTTAACAGGATCCCTACAACATTAACATCTATCGAGTATGTTTTAACATATACCACCTATACTTAACGAACACTTGAAATATGTAACCACCAAGTTTTTTTACCATCTTAGTTGGTCGTATGACTCATAAGCATCACCATACAGCTCTTCTTGTGCTCTCTCTTTATACCTCATCATATCATACTGTAATCAACCCTAAGTTTGTACTAAGTGAGGAACTCCTTTTGCACATCAATAGGGTGGATATCTAGTCAAAACCTCAACACTAGTTGTAATTGGGTTACAATAAATTGCCCGGGTGCCCTGGAATGACTTTCATTCTTGTCATGCTACCCACAAGTGTGCTTGTCTACAAACTTCTTGACAATAGGTCTAGTTTCATTTTTAATAGGAGAAGTAAACAGCATCTAAGGGCAAGTATATATTTCATTATATCATCAATAAATTCGGATATGCTTTGGCTCATACTTTGCAAATTAAAAACTTTGGGCTATAGAATAGTATTATAAATGTAAACTTAACTCATTGGCACTTTCAAATTGTTGTCTCTCTTCAGTTGACGCAATGTGCCACCATGCAGGAATCATTAGAGTATTGTTGATAATGTCATCAACTCTCATAACTTTCTCACCGTATGGATTATCATTAGGAATTGTCTCTGAACTAGATGTAATAATGGAAGAAGTATATTTACACTATGAGTTCAACGTAGAAATAATGTTGCACAATTATAGTGTTCAACGTAGAAATAATGTTGCACAATTTTAAAGAACATTTAGATGAAAATCAACACCAAATATAGCAAAAATAATAACTTCTGGTTATACTTGTCAACTAAGTCATATAGTTAACATGTGATTATTAAAACTAATAACTATCTATTAAGCTTAGCAACCAAGGCTTAAAGTTAACATATGATTGTCATATTAAACATCTACTTCTAACAATAAACAACTGCCTCTTAATTTTGAAGCATTATTGTACACTTATCAATTGTACAACTCTTGTGTCAGAGATATCACAACTTTCACCAAAGTCTAACGATAACGTACATGTTTTTAGGTACTTTCTGAATGTTATGGGAAGTGAAAAGCTTTATAACTACAATAAATTGTCTATAGATCTCCACACAACCAATATTGTCGTTATGCTCCACCATACACTTCAAATCATTTTCATTCTCAATCGAAAAACTAATGGTAAAATTTTTTGCTAAATTTCCAGTCAGATCTCATTTAATGCGATCTGATGGGACAACCTATGTTGCCTTCTACTCTCCAGCGGAGGGGTTTGCCAAATAAGTGTAAAGAGGGGTAAATTTGGGTTTTTGGGCTAGACACTGTATAAGTAGGGGCTTCTGCTTACCTTAGAGGGATGAGCCACATTATTTTCAAATTTTGAAGGCTTATGCACATGGGTCATAATAGAAAGGGCTGGGGCACAAGAGCTTCTTAAAATTGGGGCCTCAACACAATTTTTACAAAAAAAAATTACTAAATTATAAAATCCTAAAGAAAGTCTCAGAAAATGCAAAAGTTACAAAATTACAAACTAATAAATTACTTTAAAACTATGAATATAAAGAGAATCAAAACCTTTCCTAAATTTAATAAATTTTCTTTAAAACATCCAATAACTTAAAAAAATATCGCAAGAAATTTAAGAAATGTACAAAAGCTGGAAAAGAAACTTTTTATAATTTCATAAACAAAAAGTTTCTAAATATTTTTGAAAAAGTTTGACTAAATATTATTTTTTACAAAAATTTGAAGATTTTTGTTTAAATTGAATATTTAAAATATCCAATAGATGTCAAAAACTTTTCAGTAAATATCTTTTTCAGTTAACTAGTTTAATTAAAGTGAAAACAAGTTGCATGTCAAGGAGTTGCAAGTAGAGCCAAACAACCGCAACGAATGATAAAGCTGCAAGTTTATAAAATTGTAGGGTTAAATGTAAGGCAACTGTAGCTGCATAAAGATACAATGTCAGTTGCAAGTTTATAAAATTGTAGGGTTAAATGCAAGGCAAGTGTAGCTGCATAAAGATACAATGTCAGTTGTACCAGTTGAATTGCAACTACAATTGCAAGCTACCAAATGCCAAATGCAAGCTACCATATGCCAACTAGAGCTTTCTCATTATTTATCCAGTTTAAAACGACCATGAAATCAAATTACTTCGGCATAGTTTGAAGGCATTAACAATATCGTAGTAATACTACTTTTTCGTGGAAATATGTACGTTGCTGCCACGGACGATTACTAAAGTTGATGGTAAGAAGCCATGCTTGCAAAAATTGATAGAAGCTCCTCAGCCCATAGATGTTTGATTGCTGTTAATCGCGATCAAGTAAATTAATAACAAGCAAGAAGACAAGAAACAAAAATGTACTCTTTCAGTAATAATTAAGGAAATTGAAATTAAAGCATCCACTTCGCTGTCAAAACTCGAGATCATTTCATCAGGAATTGATACTCAAATTACACACCTTGGAGGCAAAAAATATACTCATAATCTTCAAAATACGCCCATTCTTAACAACAGGTCCAAGGAATTGCATGCTAAGATGAGACCACAAAATGGTTTCAAATTGCATAAAACACAAGAGAGATCTGTCAGATTTGCAATAGCAATGTTTGAACCGCTTCTACTGACATTGCGCTTTTTGCAATCTTCTCCATATTGCAGCTTCAGCAATCCACACAAGTACCAAAATCCTCATGACTGGCCTTTTACCTCGTAAGTAACTATTTCCCTCTAATCTTGCAGTAGGCATATAAACCAGAGCCCATGAAACCAAGACCTTGGCCTATGATATTTAGCTGGAAAGAAAGCGTAAAAGTAAGTATTGAAATTTATCTAGCAATTGGGGACAGACCCCTGTAATCGTATTGTTGCAGACTGACCTCGATTCTCTCTTGTTAGTTTCACTTTAAGATTGAGCTTCATAAACTAAAACATATGAGCTTCATAGACTGATTTGTTCACTATAGGTTTGCATAATGATCATTCCATATATAACAAATAAATGTGAAAACTAACAGAGTTAAGAAACCAGGGGACTATCTGCAACAACAGAAGTAAAAGGGGTCCATCCATAATTTGACGGGGGGTTATCCAATTAACCCATTTATCTATGAAGAAAATATTTCACGCATCCATCAGCAACAGAAGGCTTGACTCACCAAATCAAACGGAAGCCCTCCAAACAAAACCCAACCAAGTCCCACAGTGACAAAATCCTGTGACCAATTAGACAACCAGAGAACGCTTCAGCAACATAAAAAAGATTCACGGTATGTGAGGAAAGAATACAGAAGGGTTCAATTATATAATCAAACCTTTAGATTACCACAGATCGTCTGTGTGACTGCAGAATTAAGGGTAGTATTCAAGAATATGCTGTAGTTCAAGAAAAATGCCATTACACAGGAAAGCAACATGACAGCCTGCACGAACATGAAGTGAAAAGATTAAAACAGGGTCAGTAGCGAAATCTGCCTTTATGACTCAAATGCAATAAAGAGATATTAAGTATTATATAGTAATCCTAGTAGCATGGTCCTAGTACTCCAGTAGTGTTGTTTAAAAACTGTATTTCAGCAAAATATTGTGCATACAGCATGCAGAAGCAAAATGAAACATGAATAGCATCATTTCAATAGTGATCTTAAAAGACCAATGATTTACACGCATTGAAGGTACACACAATATTGGCCCACAGTACAACTTAAACAGATCTGTTACTGAAAACTATTAAATTACACAAATCAAATTCATCACCATAAATATTCTTCCGTGGGAAGTTGACTAAAAGTATCCAAACATGCTTCTGTTTCCACATCTCGATGTTATTAATCAAAAATATGTTGAGGTACAACTTTATACTGATAGAATTTGAACTGCGAACTCTAACCTTAACAACAGCATTCTACCTTAGCACATTGATACAGCTTTGCTACAGGTAACTTAACTCAATGGAAAACTATTTTTTAACTTGTGAAGACATTAGCTTCATGCCAGAAAATTAGTGAACTTATCCTTTAGCATACCTGTCGTATCATTTGATGATTTAGTTTCAATCTTTTAATAGTTGTTTCTGATCTTATTCTTACTAGTATAGTGCACGTGCTTTGCACGAGAACATACCTGTTTTGTTTTATGTTTTTCAAATTTTTGTCGTTCGCTGCAAAATAATAAAATGACCTATATAGCAAAATAAATTTTGAATAATTATAATTTTGCTTAAATGAATAAATTGTATGATAAAATTGTGTATAAAGAATTGTATGATTAACTATTATAGTTTGGATAATTGTTATAATTTATTCATAATTTATTAAAATAATTATAATATATTAAATAATTTCTTATTTTTTAAATATAAAATATTATACATAGCATAATTACAGTACTATTAGTAACTACATTTTAATTTCATAATTAGTTTATTACAATATTAGTAAATAATTTACTGAATTGTGTTTATTAAATTACAGTATAACTTATAAATTTAAAAATACTATTAAAATCATTATACTATTGAAACCCAGAGGCATAAGAAGGCATAAGCCTAATGAATTGTTATTATTTTTAATTTTTCTAGAATTTAAAATATTATGTGAAGATAATTTATGGATAAATTTCAAATTTTCTATTAAATAACACAATCAAATAATAAAATAATAATGTGACCAAAGTTTTTGAAAAAAATGAGGAAGTGCATAATTAATAAGAGGTTATATATAATTAGTGAATGATTAATTACAACTAATGACACATTTGAGAATTATCAAAATTAAAAGGGTAAAATTGAAAATCAAAAGTTTTGACAAGGCAATCTTCTTTTATATGTAGTATAGATATAGATTTTTTAGACAGGAACCACAAGATTAGTCGCAATATGATTATTCTTATCCTATCAAATATCGATTATAGTTGTTAATAAAAAGATGATGGTATAGTCTCTTAAAGAACAGCACAAGTTTTAGAACAGAGATCGGTGAATAAATTGAGTTTGAGTATTGTTTTTTATTGACAAGTGTGATTCCTTAATTACTTCTAGAGGTATGTTTCCGTGCATTTCTTCATCCTTCTGAATTTTTTCTAATGACTCATTAGCTAAGTAGAAATAGTTAAAATCTCCTTATGCGCATTATAAAGAACACGTATATGCACTGCTGCAATACTCTTCAAAATATTTGTATGGGGAAACAATTTAAAAGAACAAAGTTATCTGCATCAGCAATATCATTGGACAGATAATCTACAGTTCATAGAACTTGCATAATGAATTTCTTCAAAATCATTAAAATCTTAACTGTTATTCATGAAGATGTTTCCACTAATTTGCCTAAACATCAAAGGTATATAAATGAAGCGAACAGCTTCAGTACTCTAAAGGAGTACCGATGGCATAGATGGTAACTTTTTTCTGTAAATTATGCCCTCTCAATTCACAATTTACGGGATAAGCCCATTAAGAGGAGTTACGCACCTAACTTTGTAATTAAATCAACTTAAAAGGTTATTGTAGGAGATGGAAGTACAGAGAAACTAATTTTAATACTAGTCTATAACTAACTGAGACATTATTTTTTTCTTGTAAAAAACTTCATTGTTCCCTTTAAACATTTTATTTTTAAACTTATCAAAATTCCATGAGTTTTCTTTTCAAAATCCCATCATATTTGCATAGTTTTTTTGTTTGGAATCTTTAACACTTTCCATTGAAATTCTTATGGAAATTAATCAAATATTGTATTTTTTATCTTTTATTCTTTTTTCTAATTACTTTTTGAAAATCAAATTTGCCTCATATAGCATATGTTCAACAAAAATTAGGTGATTAATTGCATTTAATGGAAAAATCAAAATTTCATGAATGAATAAATATCAAAAATATCAGCATTATTTATTTTCTAAAAAAATTAACTTCTGTACAAATAATTAACTAATTGATTCAATAAAAAAAGTTTTCAAATAACATATAGTAAGAGCTAACAAAATTGTGTTAATACTATTTCATTTAGTTGTTTTCTCGAGATAATAATTTTTGCATCATACTTTTATTTTTTAAGATCACCTAGAATTTTTCTTATAAAAACTCTTGCAATTTGTATCAGGATGTATTTTTTTGCTAATGTGTGTGAGTGGCTTAGGGTAGCTTTGAGTGGATTAGGGTAGTTTCGGAAAAGATTTGACAAGAAAGGAAAAATATCTAAATTTAATAGTAAAGGTAAAAAAATAACCCTTCCTATTTTTCAGTCCTTTTGTTTACATTTAAAAAAAAAATTTAAAATCCTAATTTTAGAGCACTGAAGCATTGCTATAAACGGAACACTGCGCATTCTCTGCATAGGTGTACACATATCTGAGGGGGAATTACAAAAACAAGGTTCTATCACAAAATAACAAAGACACTCATCCACATGTAAATCCATACAAATGTATGACACATCATTGTCTAAAGATTCAAACAAACACTACAAGACAAGTGGTCTAAGTGTGAAAATAGATAACAGTATTCAGACTGATTCATAGCTGGCAGCCATGTTACTAGTGTACTTTTAATATGGAGTCATACCCAAACCTGACATTTCTTGGACGCTCCTTAAGTATATGCATATATTTAGTTAGACTTGTACTCAATTTATTATAAATGTATATTTACTTTAAAACATTCGTCATATACTTCTTGAAAATATATCATACACTTCACATCCACTTTTATAACTTGTTGGATAAGGTTCGAGTTTGTTTCAGCCTTTAGAGCTATGATTTAAAAGGATTATTTACATATATTATATAGCTTACAACTATGATTATATGTCATGAGTTTCAAATGTGTCCCTATACCCTACCTTTTACAATTTTGCTGTGTCCTATACACATACCTATAACAGCACCCATATCCATACCCATACTCGTGCAACTTAGGTTGGCAGGCTCCTAAACTCCAAAACCATATACTACAGTGACATATACTGCAGTCTAGGGGATCACTTGGTTCATAGACAAGAATCAAGTAGTCAAAAAGTAATTTGCTTCCACCAAAATGTCGCATGCATATTGTTAGTTCATGAAAAAGCTTTTCTATAGTCATGTTTACTTTTAATCACATAACAATAGATACAGCACTTACGGCATAATAGGAGGCTGTAGAGGTCTAATTGTATGCTTTTTGCTACATGTAAAATCTTGGAACCTTTCCACCCTCTCATGCAGCTAAAATATATTATATTTTAGTTCTTAAATAAGGAACTTGAAACCTACCTGGAAACCAGGAGAAAGTAAATATGGGAAGTTAATTGTCAACTTCAGATCACCACTTATGAACGTCCAGGCTAACAAAACCGGTCCACATACCAATCCTGACAAGAAAATGCATGAATCTTATAATAAATATACACCATACTAAAAATGAAAAACTTATCATGCAAACTTACCATTGCACCACATCAGACCAAAACTATTGAGACCACTAGTTTTCCCTGAAAATAAAAGACAAATAAAAACATTCAGCACCAAGCCATAGATTAGTAGTGAAAAAGGTACAAAGGTATGGTACTACCAAGACGGGATATAGTTGCAAGGTATATCGCAGTTGTAAGGTTGGCCACAAGGACAACAGCGTAACCATAGGTATCAAAGGACAAGTCTCGAGCTCCAGCAATAAACGCTCCAAAAACAATCAATGCCACACTGATAGTATCCTTGGTTTTGTCACCGAGAAAAAAAATCAGAAATTGCAAGCTTCCCAAGAATTAAAAACGAAAAGAAACTTTCAAATTCTGGTGAGATAAGAAAACTTATGTCTTCAGCATACCGTTATTATCAGTCAAGTTTTTTTCCCCATGAAAATGAGGTTAATTATTTAAAGTGACCAATGCCATAATTTGCAGCTGGCTCTCAGCATTATCTCAACCGTCCAAAGTCAGTAAACTAATGCAATTAGGTACGACAAGGCGGCACAAAATATAGCTAAAAGGCTAGATGGAAACAAAAAAATTGCTATTTTATTATATCCAGGAGACAAATTCTAATTACTAAGATGCAAATTTTCCTAATGGTTATGCACAAATGTGTTAACTTTAATATTAAAAAATGCATGTAGTAATGTGATAAGATAAAAGAATTCATAAATGAGCATATACCTGACAATAATAGAAAACCCATATTTTTGTCCAATCAAAAGATACTCCATAATCATGGTAAATACAACAGTTGTACGCCTGAGAGTGGTATACATTGGGACATTTACTCCACGTACAGCCTCCATCGAAGCTAGCTTTAATCAAGAAACAAATCAGTCATACATTAATTACAAATTTTAGGAATCATGAGCCAATAAAAGGGGCAAAATAAAAGCTCATATTGTTTATGTGTTTTTATTTACCATGTAAAGCAAATAAGTTAAAGAAAGGGGGAGGGTGTGCAATAATGTTTCGACTGGTACAAGAAGCGCTAAATCAGACGTTGCCCAGGATTCACCAGCAGTAAAAGAAATGATCTTCCATCTCCTCATCATGTAGAGAATGAAAGATGAGCATATTATCTGCAAAGTTACCAAGAATCATTTAAACTGGACGAAAACTTAATCTGATACACAATTGTACTTATATATGTAAGTGAAGGATATTCGAAACAGAAAAGAATTCAAAATAAAAAGAAAAATCAGCTAACTTTGAAGGCCGTACATAGTTGATATATTTTACTATTATTAAGAAAGTTCAACTTTTCATCTTGTGAGCTTCAGTTTGGAATGCCCAGAAATACTCTAGAAACTAATAGTATCTCAAAACTAATTTCAGAGACAAACATGGAATAGTTCTATCCAAACAAATTTCCCACTAAGCCCTCAACTTCCTCCCAATGTTCAATATTTTTACCCTCCATTATCAATCAGTTACATAACCCCCTCTCTAAGGCTTTGGAGAGAAGATGAATGTAAGTGGATTTTAAGTTATTTTATGTTGTTAATGCTGACGGTAGGAGAGAATGAAATACTAACAACAGTTTACGGTAGGGTTTTAACTTTTAAACCTTCCTTTAATAATCTAAGGTTAAGCAATTCTCAAGATCCAAAAGCCATTCTTCTTCTTCTCTTTTTTTTAACAATTCCCTTCTCCTTTATCTCTGAAAATAACACATGGAATAACCAAAAGGATTTAGCATGATTATACTAAATGTTTCTATGTAATTTAAAAATTTTCAAAATCTTTATGTTTACTGTAAATGAATACGTTCATATATCATTCTTAAAACTATTTATCTTTATAACAACTCCATTTCCTTTGAAATTATCTATTTCTACGCTATAATTATCTGCTACAAGAAAAATCTATCACAAAACCGATTTGTATATTTAGATTGTTTTTAAAGGATCATAAATAACTCCTATTTGTGTACAACCACATACGATGGGAACGAATTAAGGTATATAGTTCCATTAAGTTTTCGTGTCAGTAGCTTTGATGGTGGATCCATTTGGAGTTGATTTTTTCATGAACTTTGGATGATGTTATTTAGTCCATTTAGCCTAGCCATGAGTAGTTTGGCATTTTCAGAGAATTATTATTTATTGTTAATTATTAAATTATTGCCTTTTTTCACACAAATGTGTATTGTGTCACACACACATCGTGTGCACCAGGATTACTGATAGGCAATGAGAAAAACATTTTTTTTAAATAGGGACTATAAACTGTTCTTCAAGCCAGACCATCGATACCTAATGATCACATACTTCTTCTTTTGTCACTTTGGCTACAGATCCACTGAGGTATGGAGGAGGATCGACACATTTAATCTCCTTGGTTAAATAACTTGTGTAGAAGACAACACATCGACATCAAAAGAATTTTATAGGACCTTACAAGAGAAAAATAAAAAATTAAGATAAAAAATCAAGTAAATGTAAACAGTTATATTTAACAGCATTTTATTCTTGACGAAATACATGTTTAGTGACAGTAGACAGATGCACTCCTATCTTTTCACCTTTTTTTTCCCGTTAGCTATCACTGTCGTGATAGTCTTATTCCAGGCTAACGGCTCTTTATTATTAGTCAAGTTAACTAGTAATGGCTTCAGGAGACATGGTTGCCAAATGGCACATATAGTTATACCAAAAACTGAGACGAAAACCTCTTTGTCAAACATTAAAAACATATTTCCTTCAAAGGGTAAGATAGATCACGCAAATGCTTAGGAAAAGAAACTTCTTACAAGGAGATGAGTCTATACATTAATGCAAATGAAAATCCCATGAATATGATTTCTTTAAGCCACAAGAAACATATATTACAAAGTTGAGTCATAAGAAGAATGTAAAAGGAGATTAATTGGGACGTGGGGTAGTTCATGATTGATATTTATCTGCAATTTCTAAACTGGTAGATTTACACTTCATTCAAAGTTCTAAGAATGTAAATGAGGCTATTACATGTGCCTAAGATTAAAAATATTAGGATTCATAAAATTGTTTTCTGTTAAAATTCTAGTGCGTAGAAAGGCCACAACCTAGCTGACCATGACAAAGGCAAACTCACGTTACTCACCCTCTTCATTTAGATCTCTTTGCTGAACTTTTTCTATAAGAGAAGATAATGGTACAGAGATGTGTTATATCCGAGAACATGAAAGTTAGCAAGTCTACTCCCTTTCTCTTCAAGAAGTAAAAACTCTGAATTCAGTGATCTCGAAATCCTCCTCTTATCTTTCGAGAATTGTATATCCAGAAATGAAAGGCTCAAACTCAATAAATTATTAAAATTGAGAAGTCAATATATATTTTATGGTTTCATCTAAAATAGAAGATACATAAGAATCAAGAAGCATTATATATTGCAGTCTACATCTCATGAGAAAAACAATTATTTCAAAAGTTGGAAATAACTGAACAAAAATAAGATACATTAATAGCATATATCAGACAAAGCAGGCATCACAGAGTTTTTTTTTTTTTTTTTTTTTGATTGCAGAAATCCTACAAAAAAAATGGAAGGTGGAAGATGGTTTCTCTAGTTGAGGAAATTCAAAATTGGGAAAGGGTTTTAGGGTTATGGAAAAAACCCCCGGGGCAAACAGAAGACTACAGGACATGCCCAATTAAGCTCCTCAAGAATTAAAGTTGCAGCCTTTATATAGAAAAACCAAGGAATAAACAAAATAGATTGAAACTTTGGAACAGATTGAATATACAATTTGAAGAAATTAACTGAGGGCTGAGTGAAATTAAAATAAAAGAGAGTACTGACCGGCGCAGGTCATGTAGGATAGGGCGGCGTAGGCGCCTCTCTTGGTCATCGTCGATCCCTTGGCGACTGCGGTATCGTCGCCGCTTTCGTCGCCCCTCGACGGAGGATCGGACACCGGCAGAGACATGGATTCTTCAATTTTTGTAACATGTTCAATTTTTGTAACTGTCCCCTCGGCGGAGGATCCGACACCGGCAGAGACATGGTCTTCGGGGAGATGGAACCCTTCATCGACCCCCTCAACGCCGGAAACCGATCCACTTTATCTCTCCCTTGATCGATGAGCGAATCGTCGCTCACAGAGAATTATAATACTTTTTAGACGATTGAGATCGCTCCGCTGTGCTTTGAACCCTTCTTCTTTAGGAATTTAAATATATATATAATAATATAATAATGGAGAGAAAAATATATAATTGGCAAGGAGAAAGGGAAGGACGAATATGAGCAGGAAAAGGCCGCAGGGGAGAAACGTGCAGGGTCAAAATTGAACCGGTTTTGGATCATGAAACGGTCAATGATCGCATGTCCATGCATTGGACGGTTTTGATGCAAATTCCCGGTTCAGGGTTTAGACATGTCCTTCAATCTACTTTCCTTTATAACTAAAGGAAAACCAGATAGTGAACAGTAAAATTTCTCATTATCCACGTATTCTATCAATTTTTCCCTACCGACTTTTGTGCTCGCAACTTCCCCACTCAAATTAACGTTGCAGTTGCATCAACTTCCCCCACAATGGTTTTGCAGTTGCTCTGCTTCCGCCACTCAAAACGGAGAGATATAAAAAAAGAAATTAATAAGTAAAGTTTTACCGGTGGGCACTTGATTGGCTTCTTGGAGAAGATCCCCAAAAGAGGGATCTTTCTGTAATTCGCCGACGTCGCTGCAATTGCTAAGACGATGGCGATCAGAGCACCCAGTAGCAATCCCCAACTGCTCCGCCGCTTCCCGCCGCCGC